TGAATAGGTGTGAGCCACAATAAACCCTTATGGGTTACGGTGGAGGGTCGAATAGACCCACTCACTTTAGACCTACCTACCTACCTACCTATTTCCAGCTTTTCTTTTTTAATTCTTTTTTTTTATTAGTTCTTTCAGGGATTTCAAATCATTTTATATAATATTAGACAATGGAAGTCCGAGCTAATGAAATTCATCATGAAACTTTGTCAACCACCTTCAAGCAAACGGGATAATAATTCAGAAAAACGTTATAATGTTTATTGACTATAAGAAAAAAAATTCAGACGAACTGACTAATGTTTATTGACTACAAATTTACTTTCGGTATATTCATCTACACCCCAGAATTGACTGACATGCCATTTATCTAACTAAGCTATCGGCCTTGCTTATGAATCTCTCACAAAACCCGTAATTATAAATAAGTGAACTGCGTTGATGGAGCATGTGTCGAAAGATCGACATTAAGAACTTACGTCTGTCTCACGTTCTTTTTCAAAACGATTTGATGATGTGCATTCATCACGATACGTGATTAGCAGAGGAAAACATTTTTGGAAATAGTAACAGATTACCACATGGCTGGATTATAAAAATCCTTGCAAGGACTTGATGTCTAGTAAATATAATTCATTGGCCTTTCGAATGTAGGTATAAGCATGTTTATGATTTCTGATAACGGTCGACAAGTTGCAATAATTCCATTATTTAAATATTACTACTATTGTAATTCTTTTGAGGAATTTGACTATTTCTACAAAAATTGTATATTGGTGGATCCCATAATAGTTTCCCAAAACTGCATGTTCTGTCGACGAAACAGTTATTATTGGAAAAGGAATATTTTTTGGAGAGATTACCGAGTACTTCTGAAAAAAGTTTTTTGGCTTTCTACTTGTCCATCTTCTAAAAGACCCTGGGAAATTTATAATAATAATAATTATAACAGCCTTTATTACCTAACAGTTAAAAACCATTTACACGGTTAACTAAGTATGTTAAACAAGTAATGTAGATCCTTATAATTACAAAGTTACAATTTGAGAAAATGAATGAATACTAAAATAGACCAAAAACTATACCAGAAAATTAAAAATTCTCCATGAAATACTGA